CTGTCAAGACGTCTGCAGTTGACCGAGTTGAATATCTGAGCGAATACGAAAGCATTGAACACGAGAGTTTTGACGATCAGATTGTTTTCAGTGGTATTCTCGAGACCGAGGATTTGAAGGCCGCGGAAATGGAAAACAAGGATGATGATGATCTGATAGATAGACTGCATGAGAATCATCCGATACATCTCGGCGCTGAAAAGGGGGGCGGTCTTCTTGTCGGGTTTGCGTTCTAGGAGCTTTTCGGTAGCGGGGTCAGTAGCGAGAGCCAAAGCAGCGAACGTGTCCATGATGATGTTGATCCAAAGTAGCTGAACGGCCGAGAGTACAGACGTTTCCTCCTCCGAAGCGACGGCTGTGACAAAGGTGATAACGAAGGCAGTGACGTTGGTCGAAATCTGGAACTGCAAGAACTTGCGCACGGCGTCATTGACGCAGCGACCCCACATGATAGCCTTAACGATCGACGAGAAGTTATCGTCCATGAGAATGATATCCGACGCCTCCTTGGCGACCTCTGTTCCAGCAATACCCATCGAGAAACCGACATTGGCGGTCTTAAGAGCCGGGCCATCGTTCGTACCATCACCGGTGACGCTGACGATCTCGCCGATCATCTTGAGAGTTTCGACGAGGATCTTCTTGTCTTCTGGTGAGGAGCGAGCGAGGACCTGGAGTCGAGGAACGATGGCGATCATCTCGGTTTGGCTGAGCTGGCGGAAGTTGGGCCCTTCCATGATAATACCGCCGGGAGTGAAGATACCGCACTGCGTGGCAATGGAGCGAGCCGTGAGGACATTGTCACCAGTGCACATTTTAACCGTAACGCCGGCACGATGGCATTTGACGACAGCCTGGCGCACACCATCGCGGAGGGGATCTTCAATACCAGTGATGCCGATGAGAGTCAAGCTCTGAGACAGATCCTCGAAAAGAACCTGAAAGAGCAGCGCAGTTAAGAAAAAGAAAAAGGAGCGAAAAAGAAAAAAAAACGTACATCGCCTTGGTCGTCGAGCCTCATTCCGCGTGGAGGCCACGAAGGGAAATCCCGGTAGCAAAGAGCAATAGTTCTCAAAGTCTGGTTGGCGTAGAAAATGATGGTGCGGTTGATGTTCTCCTCGGCGAGCTCGTCGATAGGCTGAGTCACGACACCGCCGGGATATTGGCCATTCTGGTGAACCACGACATGGCTGGTAGATTTTTTCGCGAGAATCTCGCTAGCGCCTTTGAAATATGCGCGGTATCCTCCCTGGGGAAGCTCGATGACCACGCCCATGGACTTACGCTCACTCGAGAAAGGAATCATCTGAACGATCTTGGCCGCATCTCGTGTCTCCTTGAAGTCTCGCCATTGAAGCTCCTTCGCGAACTGGAGAAGGGCGGTCTCGGTCTTGCTTCCAACGAAGATGACTTCTCCAGTTTCTTTGTCGACATCCTGGAAGGCGGTAGAGTTGACAGCGATAGCTTCGTTGAAGAGGTCGCGGAGTTCGGGCGAGAGGACGGTGTTGAGTTGCGATTGGTCGATGGAGATGTCCTTGTGGTGTTTCCGCATGAGGTTATTGCTGGAACCGGATTTCTCCGTCTCGTCGGCATTTGTCCGTTCCGCATTTTCGTCAAGAAGGCGCACAAACTTGGCGTGGATACCGACCGAGCCAGCGACGACGGTCATGGCGTTTTGGGTCAACGTGCCAGTTTTATCGGTGCAAATAACGGACGCGTTGGCCATGGTTTCGCAGGATCCAAGAACACGGACAAGTAGGTTTTCGTATGTCATGCGTTTGGTCGCGAAAGCCAACGCGAGGGTGACGGCGAGTGGAAGACCTAAGTCACACAAGTTTAGCGCGGATAGTGAGAGGATGAGGATCACGTAGCATACCTTCAGGAACGGCGACAACAATCAAGGTGACTGCAATAATCAAGATGTTGACGAATGCGATACCGTTTTGGTTGGCGTTACTATGGATTGTTTTAGCGCCACGATTTCTGACGCGAACTGAAGATGTAAACTCACCGTGGAGGCTCTCCTTTGCCAAGCTGCACGAAGAATCTGATCATGAGTGCTGCGAAGAGGGCAAGACCGATAGCGGAGCCGATTTTAGCAATCAACTCGGCGAGGTGGTTGAGCTTGAGCTGGAGGGGCGTGTTTTCCGTATCACCGCGAAGAGCTGGGAGAAAAGAAGTTAGTCAGAATGATCATCCTACAGTCAGATGAGGTGGGCGCACCCATCATGATGCGGCCGTTGAAACTCTTCGTGCCGACCGCGACGACGACATATTTGCCGACGCCCTCAAGAATTTTCGAGCCAGAGATCATGAAACAGTCGGTATGTCCGAGGCTTGCGTCCTCGCCCTTAGACTGGGCGTCCCGATAAATCTGGATGACTTCGTCGTAGGGCGCCTTCTTGATCGCATCGGATTCACCAGTGGCGCCTGATTCATCGCACTTGATGTGGTGTCCAGAGATAAAAATACCATCAACAGGGACGATTTCACCGGGTTCTAGCAGGGCTATGTCGCCAACGACAACTTCCTGTAAAACGGGTTAGCACGGAGACGTTTCAATCTGTCCGAACCACGAAAAACAAACCTTGATGTCAACAATTTTCTCAACGCCATCCCGAATAACCTTGACGCCACGTTCTTCCTTGCGTTCATTCAACGCTTTGAATTGCCGTTCTTTCTGCCAGTCATTTAAGGAGCCCACGATAACCTAAAAAGACAATTAAATCAGTAAAGAACAATTAAATGAGTTGAAATGAATCATAAGATGCAATACGTACAACAATAGCGATAGCGATCATGATAGCCACACCCTCTACCCAGTCAACTGGTGGTTCGTCATCTGCACGAGGAGTACCGAAGTCTTGGAAAAGTCCCAGAGCTAAAGAGACGACAGCAGCGATAGAAAGCAAAACCTAAGGCGTCAAAGTGAGAAAATGCTTAAAGTTCAACGGTTAAAAAAATGGCGCACCAAAACTTTATCTTTCATGGCTGCCCACATCAGCTGCAAGAGCGTCTTGCTGACGCGCGTGGGCAGAATATTCTTGCCGTAAACGCGCTTCCGGTCCTCGAGGGAGGCCGTGAAAGCGGACCGATCATCGGCTGGGGCACCGATATTGCCACTCGGTTCCGTCAGGACGATCTCAGGAGCTTTCTCCTGGTGGTGGTGAGATTTTTCCGAGTGCAAGTGCAACGCGCCAGAGACCGGGACGTGTTTCTCGTGGTTCCTTGTCGACGCGTCTTCCGAGGAGAGACCGCGTTCAGCGTCTGTTCCGAGGCCGCGTAAAAGACCTTGAATGCCTCCCATAGCGACTAGGGCATCGAGGTTCTTTGGGTCGAGCATGTGAGCCAGTTGGTAAGGTTTGAAAAGGAATGGTTTTGGATCGATAGCTGCATCCTGAGCGAGCTCCAGCTGGTGGTTCGTCTGGGTTGGTTCCTCATCCTCGTCACCCTTCCCCTTTTTCTTTTTCTTCTTCTTCTTCTCGTCCTTGTTCTCCTGGTCGCTACCAGCATCCAAAGAAGTCTTCTCACTAATGGGACGGTCAACATGAGTAAAGGATGTCCTTGTTGATGAGACGTGCCGAAGGTCTGAGTCTGTTTCCGTCACCGTTGTAGCGTTGCTCAGCTTCCTGTTGTGTGAGTTGGGATTTAAGAGCCCGAGCGAGGAGAGACCCGACTTTTGGTCCGGGTCATTGTCGCGTAGTTGGAGAGTGGATTTGTAGGGAGGTACGGAATGGGTCGAGAGAGTTGGGGAAGGAGGAATTGAACCCGCGTCCGATATAGTGGGCGAAGAGGGTCCGTATGCATTCGTGGGGGAGAGAAGACCAGAGGCGGGGGACAACGACGACGACGTGACGGGGGGTGGAGAGACCGCGTCGGTGATGATATTAATGGATGGAATATTATTGTGGTCCTCGCCAGGCATGTTGGCGGTGTGAAAAAGAGCAAGAAGTAAAACTGGACCGTGTTCATATAATGTTGCCAAGCCCTTGGTTCAAGGCTGTGCTCCGATCTGGGATTCACCTCTCTATCTGAGGTATGCCAGATCCCGCTATGGTATGCACGTAGAATGCCTAGGCGCTTAATGCTGGGTAACCTGGGGTGCTAAACCGCTAGTTGGTGGTTGTGGAATCCGAAATAAGGAATTGCGGACGAGAGCGTGAGCTGGCGCGAACGACCACAAAGGAACGTGCGACAATACTTGGACTTCTTGGCTCTATCTCCCCAAGCCTTTGCTTCATGAATCGGTATTCTATCGCTTCACTCTAGACAGCCTCACGCTAAAGCGCACCATCGACGCACTCTCAATTCCGCACACAAACCGCCTGGAATTTACGTAGCGCAAAGTGGGTTAAATCCGTTGCAAGGTCACCTCTTAGATGAAAATCTTCACAGGTCGTGTGCATTAATAACTTCATGGTCATATCTAGAACGCACAGCCTCGCCATTTTTGTGGATCGACATCTAAAGAACGCTTCCGATTTCTTGACTGCATCCGTCCTAAATAGGGTAATCCAGACCTGTTCGCCTCAAAGATTAGGACGACTCAGTTGCATAGCCCAATTCTACTGCGTCTGTGGAGTACTATGGAAGAGGTTTCGAATGCGCTGGAGCTGGAGCTACGCAAAGGCGAGCACACACCGTCTGTGGTCCCGATTTCCCAGGTGTTGCCTGCGACCGTGGCATCCGTGAGTCTTTGCGATTTAGAATCGCATGCAGATAAGCAGTGACGTTTGGGGTTTGGGGCGGATGCCTCATAATAACCCAACGCTCCCTCGCGTCATGTCATTCCGCATCCATCCCACGTAAAGGCTTCAAGGTAGCGCCTGCCCTCAACCTTGACGTACGTAAGTTAACATTTTGGGACCATCTATGATCTGGCAATGACGCGTTGCGGGGAACGAGATATGGAAGATGCGCCACAGGGCGGTCACCACCACAAGCGTCCACAAGTTGCATGTTCTCCACCTATATTCTTTCAGGTCGCCATCACGACAGTTGGTGGGTTGGCGTAATGGCAACGCGTTAGTTTCCGGTTCTTCTCTTAACCAGCTAAAGATTCTGGGTTCGAGTCCCAGGCCCGTCGTTTTGCAAAGATTCTATTGTCTCTTGGATGGAGTATTTTAGGCTGCCATTCTTTTGTTTTTCTTTTCTTCTGCGTTCTTTGAGAGGGCAGTGCTTCATTCTCGCAGTCTCGCGAATGACACAAAAAACGGAATGTCCTGGAATGTCTCGGACATTGGAATTTTCCTTACTCGGAGCTTCCGTTCCCGGATAAATTTCACTGCAACTGCACCCAAGCTACTATGAGGCTGTGTTGACTGACAACCAAGCAATTCTCAGAATTCTCCGACATGGAACGGGATTTAACGGGATTTACTTATCTAGGACGCAAATCTACGGGCTTTAAATGAAAGTACATACGCAGCCTAGTACTTATTATGGATGTTGAAATTGTCTCTTTTTTTTTTCCGCCTTCCCAACATATCAACTACTCAATGTATCCTCATTCAAGAGCCGCTGAAACCATCGCCATGGATTTCTATAAATTTTGCCAACGACAATTCCACCAACGTGCATCGATGCCGAGCAAATCCAAGAACTTTTGCTTTGGTGCCTAACCTCCAAGACGTCAAATATTTCAATCTTCATTGAACCACAAGACTTCCCTAGATAAGTACGAAAAAAACGCCACAGTCCTGAATTCTGTCGTCCCCGGGCCGAATATAATATTTGGGGAATGAGAGGCTTCGGTTCCACCGCCGCGCAGGGAAATAGATCCCTTGAGGCTTTAGCTCATGGGCATCGCCTCACGGGTAATGAAGCGGTGAGGAGTGTGCATGGTTTTGATTTCTCGAAGAACTCAAGTTAAAGGCATCTCCAGAACCGAAGCGATCGCGGCGCGAGATGAGATGAGATAACCAAATCTGACAGGGCTGCAATGGATTAACCAGTGTTATCAGTACGCACTTAGATGGAATTCGAATAGAAGTCACTGATCCTTACTACCAAATCACCTAGACTGTGCTCCCCAGTTACTCAGAGACTCATCTTATCTCAATCACTTCTATTCAGCGCGAGTACCTCGGTAGGTTTACCAAATCATCCAAATCGGCCATTGATCTTTCCTGTAGTAAAAAAAGCACCCTTGTAACGAATCCAGTCAATACAAAGGAAGTAACAGACCCGCCACCGCAACGACATAATACATACGAGAACAACCAAGAACAACGACTGCAGTGCATTCAAATCCACTCTGATGGATCATCTGCCAAATTTCATACTCCGACGGCAACTCACTTGTGGGCGCTTACTTTACGAGGTTGTGTACGACATGCGGAATGGCATAAAGGGACAATAATATCGGGCATCATCATTTACGTATGATGGCGCCTCCACCTCCGGGGGCTCAGTGGACAAGAGTTGACATGTCTCGTATGGCATGACAAGTATCGGTGTACTTGGAATCTACAGTCCAATGGGTGCGATTGTGATGTACCATTTGACTGGATCCATATTCACTAGATGTGTGTTCGCGGAGTTACCGTGTGGCCCATGTAAGATTGTAAGAATAATAAACCTTGTGTTGGCGGCAAACCCCACGAAACACGGATTACAATAATTAGACCCTAATCCGAGTCATGGCATGATGAAGTATCCGATGAGTAGCCTAAGAAGTAAGCATCGTACACGTCGGCCATGGTGGAGGTTGTGGCAGGAAAATCTGCTGCTGAGTCGCCTTGAATATACAGCAGAAAATGTGAGAGGAAAGGAGTGTCCGGTGTTGAGGTAACCGAGAAAATGAGGCCCTAAGAGAAATTAATTTATTAATGTCTTACCGTCTGGGTTGCTTGAAACCGCATAGAGAGTGCAAAATCCTTACTGGGACTACCCTAATGTGCGTGAATGATTTCCCAGCGTACTATCCGATATGCAGTGCAGAAAATTGCCAATCGGAGCAATTGTTGGGAAACTGCTTATCATCGTTGCATGTTTGACAGCCTGTCAACATTTCATACCTTGCACGACATGTACTTTGTCGGCTTCTTTTCGTTTTAGGAAATTTCCAGAGCTGAAAACCAGTACATACCACCAATGAAAATATTTAACCTCAACGCCAACAATCGGACAAAGCAGTTCTATTCCATCCAAGTAAAACTGGCCAAGGTTCAGCGTGCTTCGATATCTTGCTCGTTATCTTCCCCCAAATTCTCAGCGCACTACACGGGGTGAACCTTAAGGAAATCACGCCTTTTTGATTATTCACAATGCGTCTGGAGTATGCCTGCATTATGCATGGGGCAAGCTTGCATTGGGGCACATTTCTCTCACAGTGAGTCAAAAATCCCATAGATTTCTACACCGTGGGGTCACCGGGTGCGCGAAATTCGCCACCAAAACATGTTAATTTCGTGCCCTGGACTCGGAAGCCCTCGCAGAAGGAGATCTAGAGGCACACCGGGTCTCCGGTAACTTATTAGGTTGAGTTTCGACTCTCAGGAGGCACCAGGAGGCATGTGTGTACGAGAATTTCGGAAGTTTAGAACCACAGGAACGCGTTCCTCACCGCTCGTAGACGACCCGTATCGCTCTCCTCCAGTGGCGGTTGGCAGCGGCACTGGCAGCTGCCTATGAAATTCAACAGTCTCGTTAGTATCACTGGATCCCATGATGCTCTTTTATGTACTAGAGGCCTGGGCTACCCACTTCTAGTACTTTATCCCGGGCTAAAGACGTCGCCGCGTGTGGCCTAGGCGGCACCGTTCGACAGCCCAAGGCTGTGCTTACATTGTTCTTACTCATCAGAACACGACGGAAGCGGTCCGATGTCACCGAGAAAACCTTTCAACATCCTTTTCATGGCTAGCAATGAGTTTGCATGCTCCGCTCCTTCGCATCTACGAATACGAAAAACGAGGTTTGCGCGTGTGGTGCAGGGGCCCAACCCCGATTCGGGAAGCCGTATGCCTAAAGGGGAATGGATCAGATGACGACGCTGACCTGGCCAAGTTTGCGTGTTTTTCTCTAGTCCATTTTGCCGTAAATCGGCCGTGGTACCATCCTGCCGTCAAAGGTTTGACGGTCTCTCAGAGATTGCGGAGATATATATTTAGATAGCATCCTCTGACCACGATAGTCGGAAGTAGGTGAATTCCGGGACGGGAAATATTCCGGAGAAGAACAAGGTTTCTCATTGCGGTGGTTTGCTCTGCATGCATTTACCCGCCTTCTTTGAGGCAGGGAATTTCAGCTTCAAATACGAGAATATATATACAGGAGAACAACATAAGGAGGTAAATTTAAGAGGTATACCATTGAGGAAATAGACAATCGAAAGGGAGAAACGGGGAGGAAGTAGTTACGAGTACAAAGACGTGCGAGGCTTTGTGCCGCCCAAAAGAAATATCGGAGAATGGTACAACAGTACGAGAAATCTACAGGATAGAAAGGAGCATAGCGTATATCGGAGGCCGTCTAAAAAATCAATGACCTAAAAGAATCATGGTTCAATCTTTCTCCCTCTATGGGTCACACGATTTTCCTGGATTTTTTCTGCTTTTTTTCGAGCGAGATCCTGCGCACCACCCCATCGTGTGCGTGTGTTTATACTGGCAAGGGAACCTGACCTTCAACGATGACATTCCCATCCCCAGCCTCATCATGAGAATTGACCACCAACTCCGCCTGCCCCTTATCCACCTCATTCGCATCGATCTTGCTCACCTCCTTGATAAAGCTAGTTCCCCAGAACGCAGCGCTGTACTTGTTCACATACTTGAACAATTTTCGGTGGTTCTCAGCCCGCACCGCAGCATCCATCGTTACTGCCTCATGGATTGCGTCCGCTACCTGCTGCGAGTCCCAGGGGTTAACGACGATTGACCCATTCAGACTCTGGGCGGCGCCGGCGAATTCGGAAAGGATCATTACACCTTGTCGGGCCTGCTGACAAGCAACATATTCGTACGACACCTAGAAGGGATACGAGTTCAGATCTATAAGCGAAAGGCGGGAGCGCAATGGAATGGTACGTACGAGATTCATACCATCTCGTGTACTTGACACCAGGCAGACGTCACTAACGGCGTAAAGCGCGCACAGCTCGTCGAAGGGTAGACTTTTGTGCATGAAGTGGATAGGCATAAACTCTACAGTGCCGAAACGTCCGTTGATACGGCCAACAAGCTCGTTCACCGTGGATCGCAGGTTTTGGTATTCTTCCACATCCTGCCGTGATGGCACAGCCAACTGAACGAGGACCACCTGTGGTAAATGAGATTAAGTACAGTGACGTGAGGTGGAGTCATTAGTGGGGCGTGTCACAAACCTTGCCAATCCATTCCGGATGTTGTGTGAGGAAGAGTTCGAGAGCGTGCAGCTTCTGTGGGACGCCCTTGATGTAGTCGAGACGGTCGACACCAACGATGACTTTCACGCCGCCGAAACGTTGCTCGAGTTGGGCGATGCGGTCGACGACGGACTTTTTTTTGAGATTCTAGAATGAAAAAACGCGTAAATGAAGGGTGGAGTCCTCATGGAATGTTGTAAACTCACGTCGATGAAACTGCTGGGTTCGATTCCAATGGGGAAGGTGCCCACATGAGCGAGCCTACCCTCGAACTCGACACCATTGGGCATGGTAGGGAAGCCTAATATCCGGGTACATGACGACAGGAAGTGACGAGCATAGTCGTAGGTGTGGAAACCAATTAAATCGCAGTACAACACTCCAAGCAAGATCTCTCTTCGCACAGGCAGGATGCTATAATCGCACATAAGGAATGACGTTTGAAAACAATGACGAAGGAGCGTGTTCATACCGGTAAATCTCACTGCTTGGGAATGGGGTGTGGAGGAAGAACCCTATCTTGACTCCAGGGGTGGGAGGATGTGTGGCGGCGTAAGCAGTGACGTCAATTCCCTCGGTTATTTTCGACAACTCTTTGGTGGTAAATGAACCGAGATTGTCGTGGCCGTCGATGATACCGCGTAGCAGCATTGGGAGAAGCATAAGATGATAGTCTTGCACCCAGACCATGGCGCCAGGAATAAGTGATCTGCTGACGGACGACTTCAGCGAACTGC